CTAAAACAATTACCAAACCCCGTGATCGATTCGAGACAAAATGCTGCTCCGATACTATCGTATCGGGCAGCTAAATAACGCACATGCGCGTACTCGAAATAACGCGCAGGTGGACGTTATTTCGCGCTTGTACGGTAAAAGCAAAAACACTTCATGGCGCATTTGATAATGTTCTTAAAATGTTAACAATTTATTAAAATATTTCGAATATAGTTAAGGATTTTGATAAATCATTTGAAATTTCTATTATTGACAATTTTTTTCGAATTAATCTAAAGTTATATATATTTTTATATTATACAAAATTTAAACGATAATTATATAAAAATTCAATAAGAACTACAATAAAAATGTATTATTTCCTAGGTGCTCTTCTGTTAGTAATGTTTGCGAGATGATTTAAACTTTTAAATATCACCTCAGTAGATGAAGAAGGTGAATTATCTTTAGCGGTTGACATTTTCATACAATTTTTTAACCATTTTGAAAGTGTTTTAAAACTTTCTAATTTAGCAGATTCTACATTATGATTTAAGACTGAACTTTTAGAAGGATTCAAATAAGAATCTATATTGACTCTGTCTATAATATTTTTTTGCAACCACCTTAAATTATCGAAATTATTTTGTTTCCAAGATATATAAGCGAATTCTTCTAATATATTGATATCAAGGAGCGAAAAGTCTATCGTAGGATTTGTGGATTTATGATCAAAGGTGATTGGTGACGAGAGTGAATGAAAATTTAAAACCAAATTGTTTAAAACTTCTTTAAATAGCGTAAATTCTTTCTTACGAATTAAATATTTGATATAAATATAACCAATTTCAATATCTTTTATGCGATATGGAGGATGTGGTAATTTTATAGTAATACTTGTTTCTGATGAAGATGAAGATTTATTTAAAGAACTGGGTGACGGAGAATGCTTGATTGATGATTTTGTAGTTGTCATGAGAGGGGTAGGTGAATTAGATACCGAAAATGCACGTGACAAGTCTTTATCAAATCCGAAATGTTCGTTCCTCCAATCTACAAACATTTCCCAAGTTTGGTGAATGTTGAAATTATCCGAGCTATCTGTTAAAGAGCTCTTCACCAAATAATTTAAGACCACCTTCCAAAAATCAAAATTGATTAATTTTTTCTTTGTCTCTAAAAGTTGACTCATCAAATTTTCACCCTCTTTATGCAATTTTGGTAATCGGAAACATGTTTCTAAAATTAACATATGTAGCTTAAAGTTTACATCTTCTTCATTGGGTCTTATATTTGCATCATCTCTAAGCATTCCAACATTATTCGCAATATTAATGTCTGTCTTTCCACGAAACTTATTTCCCTCTTGAATAAATTGATTGATCTCGTTAATTAAGTATTTAATTGTCAATCCATCTTCACATTTTACACAACATTCCATTAATTCTTTCCAAATTCCAAATGTAGGCTTAACCTCCGGATTTTCCCTTTTCATCTGATGTCTAACAACGTTTATAGCATATTCGGACTCAATTTTGTCCTTTGATGCCAATCTTAATATTGTTTCATATAATTCTTCGTTTCTTCGATATCCCATTAATGAAAGTTTGGTCCATCGTTTCCACATGTTCTTGTAGTCACCTACTGAAGCTAATTGTTGAAATAATGTAATTGTGGAAGCTTGAGTATGTTTTACTTTATAATTTTTCATTAATTTTTCTATTTCAAAGATCTTTGGTGTTAGAGAACTGCGAAGTAACGAAATGTTTTCATTATACGATTCTTTTTTCTCTTCTTGTTGTCCAGTTTTCTTGACAATATTTTCCTTATCACTAGGTTGAAGTAAACAGGATTCTAGTAATGGTTGAAAAACTTTAATATTATCAACGTCATATCCTGCCAATTTAATCAGATCAAAGATTTCCAAAGCTTTCTCGACTCTTAAGCTAACTGACTTTTTATCAGCAGCCTGAAATTCTGGCGATTGTGCATACCCTTCTAAAACAATTCGGTACGTTTCAAAAGTTGGTTCCATTCCTTCACCTCTCATATTTTTTAACATTTCTAAACTTTTATCTAATGGAAATTCCTTAGGACTAACTTGATTCGCAAAAATATTGAATCTAACTATTAAGTCGTAATGGTCTCGATGAAATTTTGGAAAGTTAGAGTCTAGTGTTGAGGATTGTTTAGAAAGGCTGTTAACTAATTCTTTCCATGAAGAATAAAACGAACTATTCGTAAAATTATCATTTGAAAAATCTAATTGTTCTATTGTCTTTTGTATTCTCGGGATCATTATATCATCCAAAAGACTATCAGTTTGATCCTCTGACTTTTTTTGGTTCAAAATATATTTAGAGAGTGCTTGAACATAAGCTTGCATCAAGACTGTTGAAAAGTCAAATTCCCATAAATCTCTCAAATTTTGTCGCGACGTTGTTTGTGGTTGAGGATCTTTAATTAAAGGTGCATATATATTTACTAAATTTGAAACAGTTTTAAATCTACCTAAATCTGCATAGTAAGAAAGCATTGCGTAGAAAGCTTCACGTGATGGTGTATAATTGAATTTTGAAATCATTCGATCTAAATATGTTTTTGCTAATTGTATGTTAGATTTTCGTGATAAAGCCCATATTATCTCAGAATACAATGTCGAAGTCAATAATTGTTCATCTTGAATTCTTTGTAACATTGTTTGAAATGTATCATTTTCTTTAGGGAATGAGCCTAAAGCCTAAATCCAAAGAACCGAAATGAATCTGAAATAAATATAATATCACATTACTGACATAATAATTTGATAATGAAAACTTACTCGTATGATTAATCTCCAAGTTTCTTCATCATATGGACCTCTAAACGATTCGATGAACGTCTCACATAATCCTTTCACATCCTCAAAATAATCCATCTTTTGCGTTGTATAAATTTTATGTGCAGTAGTCACGGATCTTAATATTAATTTCCATAATTCCAAATCTATATCCACATTCATTGGTCGCAAATCAGCTAAACTTTGAGTTTTAGAATCTAACGCAGCCAAAGGAACTTGACCATTTGCAATTGATCTTAAAACATTTATAGTTAATAAATGATCAGAAGATGCTTCGACTACATTCAAAAAATATTTATAAGTCTCTTTAGTTGGTATAAAAGACTGATGTGAGTCGGAATACATTTGGTTGATAATCTGAATGGCACTTTGTAAATCAGAGGTTTTTGCGCATGATTTTAAAAGAACGTGGTAGATTTCTAAAGTTGGTACAATATTTTGATTCTTTAAGTTTATAAACTCTCGTACAACGGATGAAAGATCGTTTGATTCAAGATAACTCTGCATGCGACGAAGGTATGTTGTTTGTTGTTCTGCAAGATTCATCGACAGCGGATCAAATTGAACTTGTGGTACAGTAGGTGCAGTAGGTGCAGTAGATAAGGGTCCTTGGTGTCCATTTGCATAGGTACGGACTAGTCCATATAATCATTTAAATTACAAACGCATTCAATTTTCAACTAAAATAAATGGCAATTTTTATTTTTTTTTCCCAAGAATTCACCATACCTATATTTTTATGAATGTTAAAATTTTTATAATTATTTCTCGTAAAGGAAAAATTAACTAGATTTTTGTTACGTAGGAAAAAACGTATAACAAAATTGTAATTTGGGAACAATTTCATCTTGATGAAAGGGAGCCTGCTAGCATAAATATCATGAATGAAGATCTATTCCACCGATTTATAAAATTCGGGGATAGGACTGATTATCGGACTGATTGAAATTTATAATTTGATTGGCCGATCATCATTTGAATTTTAAGCTCTAGAACTGGTTCGATATATCAAGGTTTCGATCTATTGAGATGCCTTACCATAACGAATATATATAATATGTCTATATATTTTTATAGTAAGGTATATCAATAGATCATAACCTTGATATATCGAACCAGACACTCTAGCTCTGGAGCTTTGTTATATCAAGTATTTTTTATGTTACACAAAAATTCAAGTATTCATTATATCAAGATAAAAATCTCACAGCCTTTGCTTTGCTACATTTCAGGTAACAACGTCAAGAAATCTTAAACACTAAGATTATTGAAAATTATGCAAATGTTGAGAAAAAGAAAGCCTACCAAGTATTTTACAAGAAATTCGTTATGTGGTTCAAAAACTTATAAATAATAAGAACGTAAGTACAGTATATCAAGAATTTGTGAAGGGATGCGACTATTCCTTAGCAACATGTGTGTGGAATTAGAACCAAATTTAATTCAAGTTTATTAAAATTTTATTATTAGCACATCCTGAAACCTTTTAAGCCACCGACCTTAATTATATTTGATAATATTGCAGATATTGAAATTGGCTAAAAATAATATTGATAAAGCCCATTGTTTAAAACGAAGCTTAAATTTGACAAGGTCTCTATCTAAAGCTCAAGAAATTACAAGGCTACACTAAAATGATATCATTACTTTCATTAAATCAACAAATATTACTATGTTAAGGATTTTTCTCAACCCCAAACTTTCCAGACAATTTAAATTATTTATCTAATAATGGATATTGTAGAAATAATTGAACCTATTTTTGTAAGTATTTATACGCATTACTTTCAAGATATGTATAATAGTTATTTTCCATGATTATAAGTAGTGCTGATCTATTTATCTATTTCTTTTACTTTCTTTAATAGAATTATGAAAACTGCAATAACTGAAATTAATGCAACACATACTACAGGTTTTAAACCAAATGTTCATGGTGTTATGGCTGTTAGAACGTTGGCACACATTTTTTTGTAAACATTGATAATGTTAACATATTAGTCCATGAATTTGCTCCTACCTGTTATGTTATCCACGTTACATGCCTTGTGACCAAAGTACTATAAAGCCATTCAGAACTATACATGGTGAACCAAATTGTTACATTTTTGCACTGTACATGTAATGCACACGTTGTAGGTGGACATGAAATATATATTTATTGTTTATTTTAAATATAAATTAGATTAATCTAATATTTATTTTTAGGAATATCATTGGAACTCTTTATTTTTGACAAAAAATATAGTCCAATGTTTCGAATGAGAAAGCTGGTAATTGGTGACATCCCTTTCAAAAAAGGATTACAATTAACAGAGATCATAAAGGTATTGGATTTGAAATAACTTAAGATGCAGTACTATGAAAATTTTCGGTTGTGTTAACATGTGAATTGATCTACAAGCGTGATTTAATTGTGCCATTGAGTAGCATTAGAATGAGATAGTATTAGGTTTAGAACATGTAATTTAGTATGTATATTTGATAACAAAACATGTAAATATAGTCTTTGTCTTCGTCCTTAGAGTAGGCTTTAGACTTTTATTTAGGTTAATTCTATTTCTCATTTAGATTTTTGGTTTTGAATTGTTTTTCTTATTTATTTATTTGTTCCTTTTCTTTATTTTTTCTTTATAATTCTATTGTTATCTTTTATTAGTATTATAGATTTATTTATTATACGCATTGTTATTTAATAAACTTTCATTATTATTGAGTGTCTCTTCGCATACACATCTATTGTGCATACCAATTCACGTTACCTCAGCTGCGTCATTATCAAATTAACCCTCCTCTAGCCTACTATCAAAGCTAATTTGACCCATAGCTCTTCGCTCTCCTAATACTGATAGTAACAGCAACTCATTACAACAACTCATTTAACTGACATTACATAGGGCTAGGGTTAACGTTTTATTAGTTGCGGGTATATATTTTAGTAAATTGTCACTTGGAGTGACGTCGGCTAAATGAGAAATGATTGTGATTCTAATAGATTTAAATATTTAAATGAACAAGTAATCCAAATTTATTATATTTTAACAAATAACAAAAAAACATACCATTAGTCTTTGGAGGTTAGTAACTTATTCTCAGTAAGTAGTGAGCCTAAGTAAAAAAACTTTCAATTTATTTACCTATTCAAGTAGCTGGCTAGATTTTTTGATACGCAATCCTTACCTTTGTAGTAAGGTCTTGTTTAATATCATTATATATATTTATTTAAATAAACCCAAAGATTATTCTATATTAATACCCTTAACACTATGTGGGTGACATCAACACCGTATAATAAACTAAAGCGTCTACATTATACATTTATAAGAATTATTTTTGCAATTTAGTTTTATGTTAGTGGTAGACGTGTATTGCATCTTTCGGTTTTATGCACATTAATAACTTTAACAAACTTCAAGCTTTTGATATTCAAACAGCTCTAGTAAAATAAGTTCGTTTACAATGTAGATAATGTCAAGAATTCTGCTTTCGTATCTTAACGATATACCTACTGTATATTGATAATGAGATCAGTTGGTTTGTGAAATAGACCTTCTTCTAAGTTATTTGTCGATCAAACCACTAAAAACTTGTCTCCAAATAAAAGAATAATGGTATTTTTAGGTTGAAAAATAAAACACTGTTGCTTTTAAATAGTTATTAAAAGAGTTCAATATAATTTTTTGAATATGGAATGTCTTTAGATTTACAATCATTTTACGTTGATTCTGAATTCAATTCAGAATGCTTGATCTAATTAAGAATTGAATATTTAAAGATAAAAAGCATACCATCGTTATTTTTGCAATAGAGTTATATGTCAGTTAACGATAGATATAATTAGATTGTATTCTTTCACTTCATATTCGGTATTTCTGTTAGACGTCACTTTCAAATTTTCGTCAATTAAAAATTGACATACGTACGTGAGTTTAAAATTTATACCGATTAAAATATAACGTACGTCGAATTTTAATGCAAGTCTAATAAAGTATTTTAAATATTTAGAAAATTTTTTTTAAAAAAAAATGTTTTTATTTTCTTTTCAACACTTAATTAGTTTGTTAGGTTTTTTTCTTCAAACCTTTGAAAAAATTATTGACAATTATATGAATAATCGAAAAAATGAAAGACTTATAATGGATCATTCAAAATACAACTTGTTTTACAAGTAAACACGAAAACCCAAGCTTTAAATATTAAGTTCTTAATACCTTTAAATCAGATAAATATCATTGTGGCATTCAAATTTGTCATATTGAAGACTTTATACTGCCACTTGTCAAGCTCATTAAGTTACAGAACATGGCGACCAAGACATACTTGGTTAAAAGTAAATATATAATTAAATAAGTATAAGAAAAAATTATATATTAAATATTTAAGCAACGAGTAAGATTAATGACTTTCCAGATCTCGACATAATTCCAATGGGCAAGTTCATCTCTTTACGAAACATCAGGAAGTACATTTTTACATAGATTTATATGAAACGTTTACATAAAGTTATGTAGAATTTTTATTTATACCTATAAAACTTTATAAACCCAATGTAGATTTATATAGTTATTTATATAAATCTATATAGATTTCTATATAGGTTTATGTAAAATTGCAAAAATTTTTAACTTGAATATTAAAGTTAGGATTAGGTTTTAAAGTTTAAATTAGATTGGGAAGGTTTTCGGGCATGCTGAATATTTTTACTTAGTATATCGAACATTGATTACCTTAGTCACTTTTGATAAATAGCTAAAGTAAATTAAATTATTTTATGTAGATATAAATAAAGTTTACATAAATTTTATATTTATATAAATA